AAAAAGTTCCTAGAAATGAAAGTGAAAATTTTTTTGAATTATTTTGCATTTTCTAAGTTCAAATTTTCTTTTTCCGTGACTTTCTAATGTGACGTCATTTTTTTTCGTTTGATAAACCAAAACAAAAAACAATAAAAGAAAGGTTTGTTTGAATTGTTCCATATCATGAATCACGACGATAATAAAAAAAAAAGAATAACATAGGAAAATAGTAAAAATTTTTTTCTTTTTCTTTTCTTCATAATTTATACGAAAATGATCAACGAGCAGCGATATGAAAACGATCATTTAAATTTATTTTTTCAATTGTTTTTCGGCGACACTGTATACAAGTGCTGCTATCTCCATAACATGCATGCATGTATATTAGTTGTCATCATAATAGGAAATTTTTCGTCTCTCTTATTTTTGTCTTTTAGTTTTTGTTTTAATCAAATGCATTGAAAATGTTTTATTTTTCTTTCCTTAATAAAATATTTTTATCTTGTGGTTACACGAAATGAGAGAGACAGGCATATTTTATGTGTTCATTAAAATTTTTGTTATTAACTTATGGTTGTGTTGCGCCTATAAAACAAGTTTTGAATTATTAAGTATAAGATATGTACATAACATCGAAATATATGCACATAGATATATACAAATATAAGTAATGTGTTGTTTATATAATATTATGCAATATTGAATATTAAAGTTCAATACAGAGCCAAATAACCAGAAAAAATAGTACTATGGGTACCCCCATTGACAATTTTTTTTTGAATAACGAAAAATAAAAATTAATTAATTATTCGACATGTGTCATATGACAGAATGAATTTTGGAAGTTGCCAAGTAAACAATTCATTTGCACACATTTGTGTTGTACTACGATTTCTTTTCGCTGCACTCAATTGAATATTTTTGTTTTTTTATTATTGAAGTGGGTTACTCGTAATATTAAATAAATATTTAAAATTACATAATTATGTTTTGTGTGACATAGTAATTTCTTTTTCCGAACAAGTTGAAATAAAATTTTGAAATATGTGAAAAAGTTTTAAAATAGAATAATTTTATTTTGAAGAAGTTTCTCACTTAAATCTTTTAATTATTTTCGGTAAGGCATATAACTTTTAATACAACTTAATCCTTTTAATAACTTTAATAGATTTTGATTCCGACCCCACTGCCCTGATTTCTTAATATTATAAGAATTAATAAAAAATTCTAATAACAAAGACTTCTGCCAAACAAATTAAGCGATTTTTTTTTAAAACAGTCTGACTAAATCAAACTTCCTTAAAAACAAATTATGAAAGGAAATTGAATGCAAAAAATTTATTATTTCTACCAAGTATTTTTACTTAAAATGAAAAAATCAAACTTTATTTAAATAATTCTTAATGAAAGCGGATAAAGTATTGACTGACAGGATTAGATTTATAATTAAATTTATTCAATCAAAAATAATGTTGAAATTATTAATTATAATTAATAAGCTTAATTTTAAGGCAAATTCGACAAGTTGTTGAATTCTCTTGAGCTGGCGAATTTGTCAGATTTTATCATTATATTCCATTCACTATAAATGAATGGAATTATTGAGAAATTTGTTTTTGCAATAGCATTATTAAATAATATTCAATGTGTATTGAATTAAGCTATATTACATGACACTGTCATATTTGCCAGGAAAATTAGTACGTATAAATATCATATTCCACAGTTTTAGCTACAGCTAAAAATATATCCATAATTTTACTATAAAAAGTTTTAATAACGTACATTATACAGGAATTATTAAACTAATTTTTTAATTATTTAAATTATTTAAAGTGATTTTTTAAAATTCATTTTATTCACCGAAAATCCAATCGAATTTCAAAACCTCTAGTAAACATAAAAATTATAAAAACTTTAGAGTGAATATCTTTTTTCACTATTTGCCTCTTAATATAGAATAACTTACAAATATTACAATTCATTCGTTTTGTCAGAAAATGTAAGAAATCTTACGTAATGTTCAAAATAGGCTCAATTTGCTTTTATTGCAATCTTACCTGATTATGTATAAATTTAAAATTAAGTGCAGAACAAAAAGCCTTCAATTATTATTAATTTTTTTTTCATCTAATCCAATTTCAATTTAATTATGAATTATTACTTAAACTTACCAAATAATTCCCTACTTCCTTAACTAAAAAAAAAATTCAAAAACAAGCTATAAATGAACTTTTTCAAAAATTCAAAACCGGATTTAATTTTTCAAAAATAAACACAAAAAAAAAATTGTATGAGTAAAAAAAAATTTTTTTTTGTTACACATTTTTTTTTCTTTTCTTAAACAAGAGTGTTACATAACTTTACATACAAAGAAAAAAAAAAATAAATAAAATCTTAAATTTTATTATGTTTACTTAACCTCAATTATATCCAAATTACAAAATAAAACAACAACAAAAAAAAATTAACTACAAAACGTCAAAAATATATTAATTTTGTACACCCATCATGAATAAAACAGAAGAATAACAGAATTCATTTTGACTCATTAAAATTCCCTCATAGTTTGACACTATACATATATAATACTCGTAATATGTATGTACATAATATATAATCGAATTCAAAGTTAAATCGAATCGAATGTGTATAAGGAGAAAAAAAAAAAGAGACCAAATTAAAAAAAATTCACTCTAATTGTTATATTTATGTATGTATGTACGTATGCATTGAGTATGTAAAAACAAATTTCCCGTATATTGAAGTTTGTTGGAATTTCATTTTTATATATAATTTCGTATACAACAAAACCATCACCTGATGAAATTTCATTATTGTGTTTTTAATTTGCGTCCACTACCATTATATAAAATAAAAATAAAAAAAAACGAAAACTGAAAATATTGTAATAAAAATAATTCAAATTATCATGATGATGTTAAAATACAAAGGTCGTTCAAGGCCGCCGTTCAGAAATGCAAAAAAAAAAAACTTTCAAATAAGTGCTATGTTTTCCTTTCTTTCTTTCTTTCTGTCTTATTTTCTTTCTTTTTATTTCTCTTTTTTTTTAGATTTATATTTTGTTCATTTCTGAGCACTCTTAGCATGTCCAATTAATTTTAGAAAAGAAAAAAAAAAAAACAAATAAGAGTATATTACGTCAAAGCCCTTGTGGGCAATCCTATAATATTGATTTGCAAGTACATACATACACATGTATAATTAAATTTAAAAAATTTAAGTATTTAATTTTAATTATGGGCACTTAATCAGTTCTTTTTTATGGACAAATTCAAATATATTAATTATTTTCAATGCTTCTGCTCAGTTGCATTTATTTTCATATATAAAATGCAACAAATATAAATTGCAACATTTCATATATAAATTGCAACAATTCTACTTACGAAAACGTAATACGAAAAATTGAGTTTTCTTCTCCATTGCTATTACGGGCTCACACTAAATTAAATTTTGTTGGGAAAGAAAAGCTCGATACTAAAATGTTAAATACAAAAAATTCTTTTGATTTCATTTTATTCAAATGATATTTAAATAGAAAATGATTTGACCTATTTTGCTCTTACCGATATAGAAACAGACTTCCAAATTGCATCAAATTGCTTTCTGAATTATAAAAACCAAATTGCACTTTATTAAGCGATATTTTAATATGCGATAAACATATATACCGCAAATTTGTGCTCATATTGGTATATTCGGAAATATGTGTTTTTGGAAATATCTGTTCGGAAATTGTATTCGAAAAGAAATAACTTTGTCGGTTTTCTCATCCAAATTTATAAGTAAAAATGTAAAAATTCGCATTAACAAATTTGGCCTGCGATATAAAAATTCAAATTCTTTATACCAAATCTTAAAATGAATTTAAAATATTTTAAGTAAAATTAAAATATTATATTTTTTTAGACTCGGAGTTGTCGCAAAATTTGAAATATACGTAATTAGCAAGACTAAGAAGAAAACTAAAACATGAAGAAAAATTTTTTCGTTTTACTTTTTAAATAAATAAAAATTATTACAATTTTTGTAAATAAATTTTAATTTTTTTAAAGTTAAATTTTTGGAGGTTTGAATCCATGGTTTATTGTCATACAACAAAATAAAAAAAGTTGATTCGGTACCTGGTTGTGTCATTTTATCAGTAAAATAATCACAACAATACAACATAACCATTATAACTATATATATATATATATATATATATATATATATATATATATATATAGATAATTGTAAATTTCATCCGAATCCTACCTTAAGCAGGTATAGTTATATACATACATATATATGAAGTACAAAAAAAAATTAAACAGATGCTAAAATTAATGTGACAAAGAGGGGAATTAAAATACAATAATAATATTATAATAAAAGAAGAGAGTAAAAAAATTCTTCAGTTTTCAATCACTTTCACTTTAATTTTTTGTGTTCATAATCATTATACATGGTAAAAAAATATTTATACACGTATACATATACATATATAAGTATTTTGTTTTTTACACTTAATTTTTGTTTTATTGCTTTTTTATTGTATTTTGCAAAAATTTTGCAAAAAAATTATCCAATATTTTTTATATTCCCATTAAATTAAAATTAACAACGGAATAAACTAATTTCAATGTACCGTATAAAATACGAATGCCATGTTAAGCTAAGTTGTGTCTCTTATCTGTTTTACATGAATGTAAAGCAATATAGACGTATAATGTACAGTATTATAGAAACGGCAACAAGGGTTAAAGTCAAAATGTTACATTAGATTAACCACTAAACGGTTTTTTTTTGTGTCAAATTTACGCTGTTATTTCTTTTCTACGCGACAACTCTGATGAATATAAAATTTTAACGGTTTGCTAAATCCTAAAAGATTTAACAATATTTTTGTTTTTTTTTATATGAAATGCCCTAATGAAATTAAACTACTGAGTAATAAATTTTTTAATTTTATTTTCAGCCATTTTGTTGACGAATTTATTAAATGAAATCCAATGCCAAAGATTTATGCAGGATATGTTTGGGTTTAATCCCATGGAAATAGGAGGTAAGTTCGAATTGAAAGATTAATTTCTTCTAAATTATCAACAATGAAAAACGCATTGTGCCGAAATCATATCTACTTTAAAGGCAGCATCTTATTTTCAGTCTTACTTCAATCCACAATCGGAACATTCACATCGGAATCATCCAGATCGTGTAGCTAGACAATCAACAAATGCTCAAAAAGTTCAACTGAATCGTAAGCCATACAAAGATGATGAAGACGATGAAGAAGATTATTTTAATTTTGGTTTTGATGTTGACGATGACTCAAGTGAAGAAGATGACGACAGAAATAAAAGAAAAAGACCGCAACAACAACAAACTCAACAACATTCACATAGGCCGGGTAAACCTCCTCCAGATCCAAAAAATACAAATGGGAGATTATTATCCCCATCTGCTATTGATAAAATTTCTGAAACCTTAGGAGCTTTAAATACGGTTGGGCATTATATTGTTGATATAACACGCGGTCAAGATTCATCAAAGCCATCAGATTCATTTGAAAGTAGTGGAACTCAAACGGGTAGTGTACCAGATGCAATTTTAACTTTAACTAAAAATGTTCTTGGTCAAAATGTGACTAAAACAATTGAACCACTTATTAAAAGACGAATCGGTACAAATAATTATGACGATCACTTGAGGAGCACAACTGAATCAGCCGATGATATCGATAGTAAAAAAAAGAAGAAGAAATTAAAAAATAAAAATAAACCAACACAACTTCAGCTCATTCCAAACGGTTCAACCGCTATATCAGCGACTACATCAATTCCATTGGTAAATTCTCAACCCGGTGCTCCTGCCCAGTATAGACCAATATCGAATGAACAAACAAGCGTCGATAATAATAAAGAGAATGATAATCATTGTTCAACGCCCGATGGTGGACCAGGAAAATGCGAAGATTTGAGCAGCTGCCCGGGTTTGTTGTTAGATTTAGCAAACTTAAAAGATTCTTTATGTTTTAAAAGTCTATTTGTACCTGGTGTTTGTTGCCCTGTCAGTTCTCTCCAAAATACTATCTTAACAACACAAAGACCTTTAATATTAACTACAAGACCAACAGTAGTTCGACCACCTATTATAAGAACCACAACTAAACCGGGACAAAATTTAATTTTATCACCACAATTACCAACCTCTACCACAATAAGACCAGCATTCGCAGGTTCTATTAGTGAGCAAGTTTCAAACTTGTTGGGGGTAAATACAATTGATCCAGATGATTGTGGACAACAAGAATATTCTTCTGGTCGTATTGTGGGAGGAATGGAAGCTCCTAATGGTCAATGGCCTTGGATGGCAGCGATATTTTTACATGGACCAAAGCGGACAGAGTTTTGGTGTGGCGGTTCTCTAATTGGTAATTACTCTTAAAAACCCCATTTCTAATCTACACATATTTATAATATTTTTTTTTTAACAGGAGTAAAGTACGTACTAACAGCAGCACATTGTACCAGGGATTCTCGACAAAAACCGTAAAAAATTTATTCTCTTAATAGAAAAAATTTTGTAATTCTATTCCTTATCTTTTAATATAGATTTGCAGCACGCCAATTTACCGTTCGTCTCGGTGATGTTGATTTATCTACTGATGCCGAACCATCTGCTCCCGTTACATTTGCTGTTACGGAAGTTCGAGCACATGAACGATTTTCACGAGTCGGATTTTACAATGATATTGCTATATTGGTGTTAGATCGTCCTGTTCGAAAATCAAAGTACGTTATACCAGTTTGTTTACCTAGACCAGGATTCACACCACATCGCGATAGATTACCTGGTCGTAGAGCAACTGTTGTTGGTTGGGGTACTACATATTATGGTGGTAAAGAATCAACTGCGCAAAGGCAAGCTGATTTACCAATATGGAGAAATGAAGATTGTGATAGGGCATACTTTCAACCAATTAACGAAAATTTCTTGTGTGCAGGATATTCTGAAGGTGGAGTTGATGCGTGTCAAGGAGATTCAGGTAACAAAAAAATTATTTTTAATATTTTATTTTGAATTTATTAATTGTAATTTTTTTTTTTGTAATATTTAGGAGGACCTTTGATGATGAGAGTTGATACTAGATGGATACAATTAGGTATTGTTTCATTCGGTAATAAATGTGGTGAACCAGGTTACCCAGGAGTTTATACAAGAGTATCACAGTATTTGGATTGGATTCGAGAGCACACGAGAGATTAAAATTAATATAGTACATAGTTGGTTTATAAATATTCAGTCATTAAATTTTGTTTTTGTTTTACTTACTGATTTGTAAATATGTATACTAGATTTAAAAAATTTAATTTAAAAAGTATTTATTAGTAAAATTATATTGTAAAATAAATCTTTATACTGAAAATTGAATCTATTTTTTTGTTTCGATTTACAGCCATTTTTTAACTCTTACAAAAAATAAAAATGTATTTTAACAGGTTACGGCATTTAAAAAAGTAGCTCATTCCTTCTAATTTTATTAAAATGTGTACCTATCTTGAAATTTCTCAAAATTCTCAAATAATATTTATGTGTATGGTAATCAATTTATTTACAAAAATAAAAGAAACGCTATCCCATCCCCAGGGCTATAAAAAGCCATTTATGTTGTTTGCAAAAAACCACAATCATATCATAAGAGTAAACAATGCCATATAAGGGCCATATTATAGTCATTGCTTTTTACAATTTATAAAAAAAGGTAATTAAGCTTTCCACTAATGTTTGATTTAGATTTTATTAATTTGATGTAAGGTATTTTAAATTCAAAATTTAGTTGGGTATTCATATTCAATCAAAATTATTTGAGTCGGAATTCACACTTATAAAGTTTGACAATCTATCACTAAAATCACAATACAGAACAGAAATCTACAAAAGAACTATAAATACCTGACACAACACAGAATATACAGAATACAAAGCGATAAAAAACTATAAATAACTGGCTATTCTTACCTAATCAAAATTGGAATGCTGCAAGATAACAACAAGTGTAAATGTTTTAAATATAAACTGGAAATATTTTATTTTAATTATTATTAAAAGTAAGGAATTACGTACTGCAATCTTAATCAAATTAAAATTCTGAACGAAGTATCATAGTACGTACATTAATTTACCATAGAAATACATTTTATTACCATAGGGATTTTCGAAAATTCAAAATATTTTTAATTTAAAAATTTTGCAAAAATATTTTTAATTTAAAACAAAAATCAAATAGAAAAATGTAAGATATTAAAAAACTTAAAAAATAAACTATTTAATTAGTTCCTGTAAATCTGTAATGATGCAAAAAAACAAGATTTTTAAGATTTATGTTAAAACTTTAAGTGCACATAAGGGCCCTCGCTATGTAGTTCAAGTTTCGTATTTGCATTAATGGAAAGGTAGTATCATAAAATTTGATTATTGCTCAATTACCATTTTTCAGAATACCAAAATCGTTCCACGCAAATAAAATTATATAATAAGACCACAGAATTATCGTAAATCCCGAATATTATATACTAACAGATTTTCCACTGTAGCAATTATAAGAAAAAAGATTATAAAAAACAAGAAATTTCATTATCATTTATTTTTATTCACTTTTCACTTTTTTTTTTACAAATTTCATAGCTAAATCTATTAATACTTAAAACTTTTATATTTTAAATTTAAAGAAATAGAAAATATTTCAATAATTCTTATGTCTAACAAAAATAAATTAAATTATTGACAAAAAAAAATTTTAAAATAAACAAATAGTGATTTTAAAAGCATAATTTAATTTATATATATATATATATATATGTATACAAATAATTTATTCGAAAATAAAAATATATTTGTTGATATTATTCTTAAAGAAATCTCGAGTTAGTATTTTCATACATCAATTTGTAAATATATTTTGTATATAAAAAAAAAAAAAATACAATAATAAATTTATATTATTTATTTTATTTATAATTTCTTATTTTATTAAATTTTATTATGTGATTGCAACTCGATGACTATTTATCAGTTTTATATTTTTAAAATTCTTATAATTTATATCAAACACAAAGTTGGTTTTGTTTTTTTAATTTTTCAATTTTTTGCATTTTATAATTTCATTTATAAATATTAAAATTATTCATGCATATAATAACTTTTAATTTTTTATCAACTGATTTTATTAAAGAAAACAAAATAATTTTTAATTTAAAGGCATAGATAAAAAATACAATATTTACTTTTTTTTAATAAAAATATTGCAAATTTTATTAATTTTTCATTAATATCAGAGAATGAACATTAAAAGCTACCACACATTATTTATTTTCTATTTTATTATATTATAATCTTATTTTCTTTCAAATAGATTTTCTATTAAAATATTATTATTTTTTAAATGATCATAAATTTAATTGTTTATATTTGGAATAAAATTGAAATAGAATTATATTTTTTATTTAAAAAAATTTTACACTATTTCAAAATATTAGCAGAAATATTGCTATAGAAATTTTTCACATTTAATTGAATGTAGTAGATGCCCGAATGGTCGAAATAATATTCAAAAATATTAATTTTGAATTATTAATAATTAATTTAATTTTAATATGGATTTTGAAAGTATTATCGAATTTTATTTCTTCATATAAGATTAGAAATTTGTTGGGACATGGTTTTCAGTATGCGGTTCTATTTTCAGAATAAGCAATATTGTTTAAATAAAATAATGTTAAATTAATAAAAAATTCCAGATTTCTTTGAACTATTTAAATAATTTTACTTTAAAATAAAATTAATATAATTATTTATATTTTATATTTGCAATCAATTGCTATAAAACATGAACATTTTTTTTTTAATATTTTAATATTCTTTAATTTAATTTGAGATCTATTTATGTATATACTTATTATTTGTTAAAATTTTATATGTATATACACATATTAATTATATATTATATTAAAAATAAATTTAAATGAATTGAATAAATTGAAATATTATTTGTATTAATAAATATGTACCTTAATAGCCAATAGCTTTAAAAAAAAAATGCATACTTGAAGAGTATATGTCATGTAGAAGCCAATTGAAATTATATTTTAGGATGCAAAATAATTGAAAAAATATACAAACAAAAAAAAAAATTAAATAAAAATTAAAAAACTTTTAGGACAAATTTTTTTTTGCTTTATAAAATTTTAATTTTTTTTTTAAATGTTCATTTTTGTACTACAATTAAAATTCTTTTTTAAATTCATATTTATAATTGATACAAGATATTTTAATTTGTTATTATATCACAATATAATTTTATTAAATTATTTAAATTTTGTATTTATATTTTCATTTTCAAATAAATTGGCGATGATAGTGTAAATTTCTTTCAAAAAAAAAATTTGAAGAGTGATATTTTATTATAAGAAATATCGAAACAAAACTCATATTTTTAAAATTTTTAATAGAAAATAGTAGCAGTAATTTTAATACAGCCTAAAATTGACACGCGAAATAATTTATTTATTTAAAAAATATTATAATAAATATTGTATTGAAAATTTGTAAAATTTTATTTTTTATAAAATTCTTAAATATAAATATAATTAATTCATCGCCTCTTTTCTTTTTTTTAAATTGTTATTCAATAACAAATACATATTTAGAATTAATGCAAATTTATTAGTATAATAAAATAATTTTAAATTCAAATATTTAGTATATGCATATGAAAATTGTTTTATATTTCATTTTATAGTTTACAATTATTTCTTTTATTCTCTGTCTACATATTTCCATAATTTTCATATTTTATATTTGAATTTTTACATAATTATTTATTTTAGTACTATTATTTCAAAATTCAAATCTGAATTAATCTCTAAATTTGCAAAAAAAAACAAAAATATAAATTGTGAATATAAATTTCATACAAGAACTGTACGTACAATTTACAAATATGAATACAAATTATTTGAAATAATTTATTTAATTATCAAATGTAATTAAAAAAAAATTTTTTATTTGATTTTTTGATATTCATAATTATATATTTATAATAATTGTATTTTTTAAAATTAATTTGTTGATTTTTCAAGTAAAAATTGTTAAGTTTTTTTTTTTTTGTGTGTATTAAATTGATAATAGTTTAAAAATTTTACAAAAGAAAGAATAATAATAATAAAAAAACAATAAAATCAATGATTTTATATTGTTTTTTTTTTTCATTATTATTTTTGTTGTTATTATTATTTTTAAAAAATTGTCCTATTTTTCAAAATGAAATATCACAAAAAAATTTGTTTGTTTCCTTATATAAATTTCAAATATTTTATATAAGTTTAATATTCTATTTATATTTATATTATAATAAATTTATTATTATTATTCAATTATAAATTCTAGAAAATTTTCAGTTTTTGAAAAGTTGATCATTTTAATTACCACAAATTTTAGAATTGTTAATAAAAATTTTAACTATTCTATAAGAAGTAACAATTAAATTGATAAGTTGTTAGGTTGTTCTACAATAATATGATCTTTTTTTTTAAAAATTGTTATATAATTTTATTGTTAATTTATTAGTATATTGTATATAATTAATGTGTTTAAGTATAAAATACATTACTTTTTAAATATTCATATTTAAATACATTTATTTATTTTTTTTGTTTTTTTTTTCTTAAGAAAAATGTTATTTTTTAATGTTTAATCTTAATATTTTTTTTTTTTGTTTCATTTTTATATTTTCTTTCTAATAACATCGATCACATTTAATTGAATTTTATCATACTATTTTTATTATTTTATTCATTTTTTTTAATAATATATTTTCTGTTGTTTTTTATTTTTAATAATTAATTTATTCCTAATTATATAATAAATATATTATTATAAGTGGTCACAAAATGCTTATTTTGCTTTTTTGAAAAAAAAAATTCATGATTTTTTTTTTCTTTTTTTAATTATTTTATATTTTGTATGTATATATTTATATATATTATAAGTATAATATAATGATTTATGTATATAATGTTAAATTTATTTCATAATTTATTTTTATTTTGAAAATTGAATATTTTATTCTTAATTATCTTAAAAATAATTGTTGATGTTTGATGTTTTTTCTTTTTTATTATTTTTAATCACTTTTCAAAATTTTTAGTAGAGAAATAGGAAGGGAGGAGGGTGAATCACAATCGTTTTTTTTTTCTTTATTTTATATTTTATTTAATTATAAGTTAATTTTAATTAAATTTTAATTTGTTAATTATCTACACTTTTGATAAAAGTATTTAAAATTTATTTTATGTTTATCTTTCAAATTGGAATTAAAAGAAAAATATTGCATAAATTGTTGGCATAGAATCAAGGAACAAATGATTGCAAATGCAATAGAATAAAAGGATTTTTCATTTTTAAATTTCAAATTTAGAAAAAAGAAAGATTTAAAGAAATATTTTTTGTTTTTTTTTTTTTTTTTTTGAAAAAATATTTGAAAAAAGTTTAGTTACATATAAGTATTCAAAAAATTAAATAAGGAATTCTTTGTTTTTATTTCTTTAGATGATTTCGTTGTTACTTAATCATCATGAATTTAAACTTTTATTTTAATATTATTATAAATTTAATACTAATTTTTTATTTCGTGTTAATTATTGTAGTAAAAGTTATAGTGAGTTTCACATTTAAACTATACAAAAACTCTAAATTAAAATACAATCAAAATTTAATTTCTTTTATGGTTTTAAATTTTAGAGAAATTGTACTCACCATAATAAAAGAGGATTTTAGTTGTCAAATCAAATGAAATAGATGAAAATCCTAAAAATAATATAATAACAAAATAGAAATAATCGATGAAACTATTCTGATCTTCTGTCTCTTATAGTTTCGATTCAAAGAAGATGATAAAGAAATTTTGAAACCACTTATCTAAATTTGAAGAAAATTAAAATAAAATAAATTTTGAAATTAAATTAAATAAAATTCAGAAAATTGTTGAAAATTTTTCATTTTATTTTGTTTTCTTTCAATGCATATTTTTTGTTTTTTTTTTTTCATTTTAAATTTTTTTTCATTTTCTTTTTACAAAACCTTATATTAAAAAAATAATAATTATTTTATGGAAAGTAATTCTTAATTTTTTAATGTAAAATTTTGCTTCTTGTCAAAAAAAAAGTGAATTTGAAAAATACAACAACTACATTTTATTTTTTTTAATTTTTTTTCTTTTCATTATTTTAATTAAAAGTTCTTATTTTTACATACATCATGTTTAAATAAAATGAATGTGAAAATTTTTGAATATTCTCTAAGAAAGTAAAAAAATTAGAATATAGAAATATTTATAATTTTAATTTCTTTTGGAAAAATTCAAAAAATTTTGATTCAATGAGTTTTTTGAAAACATACACATTAATGTAGTAATTATTTATTTACAAATTTAAATATCATATTTCAATTAAAATTTGTAAAAAAAAAATTCTTCATAATCTTCATGAATCTCAAAAAGAACTAACATGATTGAATATTATAGGTTTTTTTTTATAATTTATTTTCCTCTTTCTATTCTTTTCCTCTATCACCTTGTCACTTTTTTTTTTTTATAATTAAGACATCGTTTTATATAATTATTTTATATTTTGTAAATATTTTACTATGTTCATTTTTAAAGAACACGTAATTTTATATTTTGAAATGGTATCTAGTCATGATAATTAAAACGCTGAAATTGAAATTTTATTTAAAATAATTCAAATCCAATGAAATCTTGTTAAGAATTAAATATAATTTCATGTTTTTTACGTGCATTTGAACATAGACTTTTAATAAATTAAAAGAAACTTCAATTATTTTTAATTGTTTTTTATTACAAAATAAATTTTATTGTTTTACTATTAAATAAATAAATTGTAAACAAATTAATTAATGCTTGATAATTTTATAAAAAATAAAAAGAAAAATATTTTCTATTTTTTAAACATTGCATAAATAAAAGTGTTTTACTGAGTTTTATTTTGTTTTCAGAAAGTAAATTTAATGTTTTTCTATTTTTCTTTTATTAATATATTTAAAAATAAATAATTTATTGCAATCCTTTTTCCACTATGACGAATTGGAAAAGCAAAGTCTATATGACAAAAAAAAAAGAAATCAAACATTTCATTGAAATATTTTTAATAGTCTTGCAATGCAAGAGAGTTATGTATTATATAATTATATAATATAACATGTTTTTATTACTTTCTTTAAGGTTTTCCCTAAATGAGAATTTTCAACGGTGGAATCACTTTCTATATAGAAAATATACTAACAATTTAATTAACAATAATTTAAGTGTATAAATTACATGTAATATGTATATTTTTCTGAATTAAAACTTGTTAAATTAACAATATGAAATATATAGAATAATTTAGAAGAAATAATTAATTTAAAATAATAAAAATTAATAAAATGTGATATTCTTGATATATTATAATACTAAATAATCGCGTTAAAAATTTATTATTAAAGTACTTTAAAATTTATTTTATTCCGATATAATTTTCTTAAATTTACTTTCTGCTTAATAATTTGAAGAATATGTTTAAAATTTAAATATCAGGACAAAAAAAAATTTACAAGAAAATATATTAATTGTAACTGATATATTTTCAAGTAAATACCTAAAAAATTCATAGTTTATTTTTAAATGTTAAAAAAAAATATATATTTTGGTTTAAATTTTTAACCAAATGTATAAAAATACAGTAATAGTTTATCGAAATTATTTTAATTTTATATCCAATGCCCAATGAATTTTATTTGCATATAATAACACTTGTTTTTTCATATAACTTTAAGTACAGTTCTTCAATCAGAGAAAAATCTTTTGAAAAATTCAAGTAATAAAAAGATTTTAATTACAATTGGCTTCTGTACTATAAAATCAGAAAAAAATTAATAAATATTTTCAAATACAAAAAGGAATTTTTAAGTAAATAATTGAAATGCAATATCTATGATACATTAAAGTTAATTATTTTCAAGATAATTAATTCGCGATATTTTTAAAATAATTTTATATTTTTTTTTAAATAAAATGATCTTATTTTAAAAGTTAATGTGAGAGAAACAATAATTACTATTTTAGAATTTTTTTTAACTTAAACAATTGAAAAAAATATAAAAAAGTTTTATTTACATAATTTACATATATTTTTTACTTAAGGAAAAAAAAAAGAATTAAAACTATGAATTGATTGAATTTAATTGATATATCACTTTTTGCCCGTCGGAATTTTTAAAAAATTATATTTTATAATTTAAAAATGCTTAAATAATAAAAATTAAATGTGTATCATAATTATTGCATTGCAAAACCTTTTCGAAATTCTGGCATTGAACAATAGTTAGAAATATTAAAAAAAAAAAGAAACTAATATATATACACAATATAAATGTATATATATTATATTTATTTAATTTTTAAAAAATTTTTTGTTAAACTTTTTGTTTTATTGTAGCTGGGGACTCTTAATGTTAATGGAGAAACTATTAAATTCAGAGTCCCCAGCTATACTGAAGGTAAATTCATTTTTGTTTTTCTTTTTTGTTTTATGTTAAATAGAAAATATTTAAATTTAAAGTTTTTGTAAAATTTTACTTCTGCTTTCTTTCTTATTCTTTTATTTTTTCTATGAAAAAACAAAAAAACAATTATTGGTATTGGAAGTCTTTAACGAAATATATTTTTGTTTATTTTCACTTTTACTTTAATTTAATAATATGTTTTTTTTTTAAATAATTATTGAATACTTTAGTTACTTAGAATTTAAAAAGAGAACCCTATTTGCTTTCTTCAAATATTTTTTTATAGAACTTTAAACTTTAAACTTTTTTAATATAAATAGAGCTGAGATTTCTTAAAAAAAATTTTTTTTTTTAAATTGAAAATTACAAAATTAATTTAGTATTTGAGTAATTAATTGATAGTCAATAATAAAAAAAAAAATTTGGTTTTCGTATTTGTTTTTTTTTTTTAAATACTAGAAAATCTATTTTTTGAAAATTTTTTCTCAATTTTTGTACTTTTTTTGAAAGATTTTTTTATTTTTGTTAATAATGCTAATTTTTTAAATTACTTTTTTTTTTAAATATTTTTTAAGTCTTGTTTTTTTTTTTTTGGTTTTTTTTTTTTTTGTTTTTTGTCTGTTTTTTTTTCTTTTATATAATTTTTAAAGATAATTTTATATGACGATTTTGGAAATTTTAAAATCAATTTTGAAAAATTCCAAAAAAGTATTATAAATAAAAATTTTAAAAATTCTTCAAAGAAAAAAAAATTTAATTAATAAAAAAAAAAATTATAAGAATTTTTTAAACATAAAGAACAGTATATTTTTGTTTTACTTTTAATTTAAATAGCTTTTTCAAAGTTAGTTAGAAAGAAACATAGAAGTTATTACACAAACGACAAAAGTATTTTCAGATTTTAATTTTTAAATTTCTGAGTTGATTTTTAATTAAAGGTAATTATTATTTTTTACTAAAACTATTGCTTTTATATATGCTTATTAATGCTTATTAAGCATATATTCAAAGAATTGAAAAAAAAAATATGTAAATTCTTCCTATTCAGTTTTTTGTTTTTTTTTTTTTAAATATTCTAATATATTGTTTGATTCTTTATATTACTTTATAAATATTGAATACGCCTTGTTTGATAATTTGACTCTGTTTTAATTTTATTATTTTTTTCGATCTTTATATAAGCCAATGATTTCCCTTTTCAATCCTTTAAAAAATCTTTTTTTTTTTTTGGTAAATGTTTTTACGTATTGTGATCGAAAAATTATTATTAATAATAATTATAATCGCAATATTTCCTCTTCTTCTTTGTTTTATCTTCTTTTTGAGTTGTTTAATCAATGATATAAATATTTTTTATTTATTCTCCAATATGTGTGCCCAGAGAAAATTTGTTGATTTCTTTTCAGAAAATTTAGAGATGTAATATTATTTTTCCAAAATAATATTTTATTCATAAAGATTTATGTAATGGTTTGTTGCTAATTTTTAAAAATTATTTGTTTGGTTTTTTCCCCCCAAAACTCTTATTATATTGGTTTTTTTCTTCTTTTTTCTTTGATAAAATAGATGGAATTTTAACTGTAGTTAATTTTAAAAAAATTTGAAAACTCTTTAAAAAATTTTCACTGTTATTTAACACTGTTCAAAAATTGGTATGATTGGTGAAGTTGGCCAATCTTCTTCCTCTTCTGAACTTAAACTTTCAGTTCTGTAAAAAAAAAAATAAACCAATAAATAAAAATTATTTATTAAAGATATTAAAAAAAGGAAGATACTCGTATTATTAAAGTCTTTAAATTTAGTAAGTGAAAGATTTTTTTGTTGATGAAAAATTAAAAATTAGAACTTGCGAAATACAATAATTTTTATAATTTATTTTTCTATTTAAAATTAATAATATCTTATAAGAACAGATAATTAAAGAATATTATTTATCACATACATTTTTGAATTTAATTTGAAATTGCAAAAACTATATTAAAGTACATAAAATATAATTAAACATTTATATTTTCAAGTAGTTGTGCATAATATTATTTCAAAACAAGAAAATTCTAGACAATAAGACTACATTTTGCATTAAAAACTTTAAGTTATTTATAAATTGCTTTTGTCGAAATATTAATAGCTTTCAGCAAACACATAAAATAATTATCTCAATCTAATTAATTAAAAATATTTGATAAGAAATAAAAATGAAAAACAATTCTGATAATAGGATAATAACCTAAATATTATTTTCATTATGACTGATAGCACTTAAAATGTGATAGTAACTTAGAAAATATCTGTATTTTACAATCACAAACAAATAAATTTTATTAAACAAAGAATTTTGTTAAAATAATGTTTTGTATTTTTTTTGTGTGTGTACTATTTACTTCGAAATTCTTATCAAATTTTCAAATATAATTTTGTATTTTATTAAATTTTCCGTATCAAGTTTGCAATAACAACAAAAAAAAAAAATAAAATAAAAAATCATGTTATGAGCTCAGAATACTTTTTATCAAGTAATTTTTTTTATTAGTGTGGTGTAAGTGCAAGTAGAATAATAATGTTTTTAGAATAATTATTTCATAAAGTAGGTTATAGATATTATTAAGATAATAAAAAAATTATCATAATTTCAAAAAATTATATCGCAGATAATATACCTTGATCTACATCCATCCATTTCATCAATTGTTTGCTGATTTGAAATTCCTTCTTCAATAGTTGGCAAATCTGAACAAAAACGATTAGTGGGGCGTAAAACACGTAATGTACGACTTGATAATTTCCATACTAAACGCTGTTTGTATGGTTGTTTATTTTGTCCATTATAATTTTTAAGAATATCGGAAACAACACCAAAACCATTCATAAATACACGTTCTGGGATCTAAAATAAGAAAAATAAAATTAAAATATTATATTTTTAGAATTTCTACTTTTTTTTTTCATTTAACGTTGAAAATTATAATATTAGCATGAATCCTGCAAAATACTTACACGTAAAAATTTTTGCATGAATACAATATATTCATAAAGATGTTTCATTTCTGGGCTTCCTTTTCTTGGATATGATTCGGTGATATGATGATCCAAATGTAAACAAATTAATACAAGTGCAAGAGTAGCTGGTGTTACAATTGTTGTTTGAACGTCACATAATAAAACTTCAAGACGCATTTCAAGCTCTTCTAATTTAATGAATTTCTTATAAAATTCAAAGAATTCATACCCCAATTCTTCTGCCATATTACGGAATAGATTGTAAAAAATGCGTAAGAAATTTAATGAAGTTATTGGTGGTTGTCCCATTTGGACACCCAATTTATTAGCAATAACCCCAGCCATTCGTTCTAAATCACCAGCTGTACAACCACACTGTACAAAGATAAAATATAAAATGAATTATTTTTTTTTTATCAATAATAAATACAATAATTAATAATGAAAATAAATTTATATGTACCTGAGAAATAGTAACTAAATCTTCAGGTGGTATTTGATTTAGACCCAACTGTTTAATTGCCAAATAAAATGATGCAACACTCATACAAGCCATATGTTTAGGTTTTACTGTCATTCTGTCGAGAAAGCGATCAACCAAACTAATCGCAGTGAATAAAACATCTGATGGTAATTCATACCACATTTTTAGACAGCGTAAGACGTAAGCAGATCCATCACGACCACCAGCGGTAACCTCCCGCTATAAGAACAACAAAAAAAAAATTAAAATACCAAAAAAGAAAATACTAGAAATAAAAAAAAACTAATCATATTAAATATCATATACCGAGAACTTCACAGAATGTGCGTCCTTACTTTTGCTCGTATATGCTTTACAATATTTTGTTTGGATATTTTTTTACTAAGCAACATAATATTGCAGACATTAAAACTTTTTTTTTATTTTCCACATAAATCAAAAACATATAATATCTATACGGGTATGTATATGATATTTCAAGGTTAAAATTTAAGTTAAACATGGAATATATTATTAAAAATTTATTGAACCACAAAGGTGTGTATGTATTTTTGTATAACGAATGCATTAAAACATGCATAAAAATTCGATATTTTTCATACTTATTACTTCAACATTGTATTAAAAAATGGAATTTGGATTTTATTAGATTAGATTATTTTTTTATTACAATATATTTATTTATTGAATTATTATTAACAAGGGGAAGGTATATTTTGAATGGTTTTGTTGTTACCACAGTAAAATAATTTGATAAAATATTAAAATAAAACTTAGTCATAAAATTATCGGCAACCTAAATGGTCAAGGACAATCGGTAAATCATAGGAACAGAAAGCTAATTATATTTGAAATCATAATATATATTTAGAAATCTATAGAACAAAGAATTGAATTTGAATAAAAACTTAATAAAAAATTAAATTTTTTTCCAAATTAGAGTAAAATTTTGGATTAAATACAAAATAAATTTGTAAGGGTCTTCAAAACTTTTAGAAATCTCAGCTTACTTACCCTTGATTCTTTAGGCAAAATCAATATTGTATGATATTTATCTTGTAATGCATCATATTCTTTTAATTTATTAATGAGATCTTCAGATGATACAAATTGTTCATCATTTGAATTATCAAAATTTTCATTATTAAACGATGTCGAAGGTGTAGGTGAAGATGATTGTTGCTGTTGTAGTTGTTGTTGTTTTCCTTGATCAAATTGTTCTTCATTTTGAATTTGATGTTCACCAAGTTCTTGTTGCTGTTGCTGCTGCTGTTGTACAATAATATTTGCATTTTCATTATTAAATATATTAATTGGGTTATTAATATTATTGTTGTTGTTGTTGATGTTATTATTAATGTTAATTGAATGCGACGACGAAGGTGGCGACGGCATTTTATTTATTTTATTTTGAATACCACTACTGCTACCAGCAGCAGCATCCGGTGTTCCAAGCCGGCCCTCCTCATCAGGCATTATCATCCACTGATCTCGCACCTCAGCATTACTGCTACCACCATTTATTTTAATATATTTATTATATTTTTTTGGTGATTGCATCAACATTGTTGGATTTTTTAATGATGATTTTTTATTATTATCTTGTTGTTGTTGCTGATTTTTATGTTGCATTTGTTGCTGTTGCTGCTGATGTTGGTGTTGATTAATCATCATTTGTGAAACATCATTTGTAATAATAGTGTCATCATTATTATGTAAATTTATTGATGTACTATTATTTGATGTTTGTGATCCCATTGCTGATGATGTTGATGCTATCATCATCTGGTGGTGCTGCACGATATCTTCGTTCATTTGAATATCAGTATCAATGACGAGATCGGCAGCAGAGTAGCGTACAGGGACAGACATTTTGAGGGCTGGCCTAGTACCTTTAATAAAAAAAATTAAATTCCAAAATAACAAAATGTGGGTGTTTGAAATTTTGAAAAAATAAATTTTTATTTTCTGTTTTTTTTTTTGTTTTTTTTGCAATTGAATTCAGATATCACCGAAAATACTAATTATTAATTTATAGTACTTTCTTCAATCTATAGAGTTTTGCAAAAAAATTCAATCAAATTTAATATTATTACTTTAAGCTTCAATTAAAATAAAAATTAGAAATTGGAGAAAAATTGAATGATATGAGAATGAAATATAATGATTTTGTTGTTTGCGTAAAATTTTATATATCCTCGAAACTTTATAAGTTTTGTACACAGTGGTCTATGATAAAAAATAAAATTGACCTTAGTACTAAATTCACGAGTATTTTATTAAATTGTACTCGTTTTAAAACCCTCAATTATTTTTTAATTTCCTTTTTTGGAAATTTTTTTTCTTTTCGAAATTCTGTACGCTTTTTACTTTTTGAAACAAGTACAAATTGGTTATAATGCTTAGAAAATTATTCCTTATTTTCTATTATAGCAAAAAACCTTAGTACTTTTTATTCGATTTATATTTAAATTCGATAAATTTACTTTGTTTCAAAATTTTAACAAAATGATTTTCAAATTAAATAAAATTACTTTGAATTCTTTATCTCTTAATTAAATACCTTTAATGTCTGAAAAATACAAAATATTTATTTAAAATACAAAAGAATAAAAATTAAAGAAAAAAAAAATATTTTACAATAGTCCTGCAAATTAAAAATATAATTTAAATTATAAATGAAATAAAACAAAATTTAAAATTAATTCAAATTAATTAATGTATTAAATTAATTAAGTATATAGGTATTAGTAAATGTTCTAATTAATAAATTAACATGTTGTATGCATATACAAGTTCGATAACGTCGAAGTAATTAATACATTAGGCTATATTAAATTCATTAGGCCCATACACATACCATTATACAATGAAGGGAAATGAGAAAAATTTATTTCCAAAGGTTTCGAAATCATTTGCTAGACTTAATTTGGATTTTTAAATGGATTCGTATCACTATTTCAATTGAATATCACAAATTCATAATATTTAATAATTCCAAATTAAAAATTAAAAAATTTTTGAACATTTTTGAAAATAATAGACATTTTCATAAATGCAATAATGCAAAACGCAATACTGCAAAAACATTACGTGATGAATATGTGATATATGTTTAACTATTCTATAAAATCAAAGCAGTTCATTTGATTTAACTAGAAACATTTTGTTTATGAATACAAATATAGCGCAGTTTTCGCTATAATATCGCGATATATTGCGTTTATGAAAAGATCGAATGAATATTTTGAAATTTTTAATTTCTATTTATTTTATTATTATTTTTACTATTTCTGTGTGTCTATTAATATAATATAATTTCATATATGAACACACTTACATACGTACCAATTTATACATATTTGAATGTTAAAAATCATTCATGTACACAAAATATCTAAATTTGGTATAAATAATTTTATTGCATTTAAGAAAATTTATTTATTTAAACTACTTTCATATTTTTAAAATTTATTGAATTTTTAATTTAATTATAAACAAATATTTTAAAAGCTTTTATACTATTTTAAGAGTTTCCTTTGGGAGTAAGTACTATAATTTTTTTTTCGTTTTTTGTTTTTAATAGAAAAACAAATATTTTGATGGAGAAGAAATAAATAAACAAAATGTACGTATGTATGTATGTAGATTAGAACAAAATTTCTTAATTGAAATATATATATGTATTACATGTTGCGTTGCTTTGTGTATAGAACGCTATTAAAAATAGTTCTGCAAAAATCAAAATTATAAAAACTTTTGATAATTTGGAAGTGAGGAAAGAAGTGAAAGAAAAGTTTGTGTCACGGCGATAGTAGCATATAAACATAAAATTAAACGTCAATAATTCATAAAAATTAAAATGGAGAGAGAAAGGTTACCGACCGATTCCAATGTTTTCATTTTTTTTTTTGGTCGTTTTATTTGTTTGGTTGTTTTTTTTTACAATAATTTTAGGTAAATTAAGAATCGTAAAAAAATACTATTAAGTTTTTTTTTTATTTTACAAATTCAGTTTTATATTATTTCTTTTTTTTTGTAGTGTTTTTTTTTTTTAAATTTCTGTTCCTTAAAAATTTTATAAATAAATTTGCAATAAAAACACATTTGTATACGTATATTTTATTACACTTTCAACGAAACATATGTCGGTTGACTTGGGTGAAATAAACTTTGCTCAAGCACAAATTTTATATATGTACATATGTATGTACACAATATGTTTATTTGAATATTAAAGAATTTATTAGCAGAAAAAAGTTCAAAGTTTTCTTAATTAAAAAACAATTTTCCCCAACTTAAATTTTTTTTTCTTTTTTTCCGATTCTTTTTCTGTCGTCTACAGAATTTTTAATTAGGTAAATAAATAAAATAATACAAATATTAAATTTATTGAATTTATTCAACAAATAAATATTGAAAACAATTTTTTTTTTCAATGAAATTGATTCTTTGTTATTATGAGAAGGTTCATAAATATACAGATGGCAACTATAACAGTATAACAAAAATACATATGTGCATATGTACATATACGAAAAATAAATTACAAAAAAAAAAAAAAAATTAAAAATATTTTTGCTTTTTTTTTAAATTTCGAATTTTAAAATTTTTCGAAGTTTCCTGAAATTTTTCGAAATTTTATCTATGTCTGTTCTGAACCTGTTATAAAGCAACTTCCTCATATATCTTAAAATTTAATATATCGTGCTCCTGAAAATATGCAATTTAAAACCTAATCGTTATAGTAAAGAGCTCCCATTAAATAGCATTTTCATAATACGTTATGAAATAAAGTAGTATACGTTAATTTTTGGGCATGTAGTTTTTTTTATTAATTCTTTAAGAATATATGAAACAGATTGAAAGAGACTATAAAACTTATTCAAATAATTTTGAATTAAAATTCGAAAACAATTGAAAACAATTATTACATATCCGAAGGCGTATACATGACCGACATTATTGGTTATGTGAGTGTAACAGTTTTTGTCAATTTCTGTATCCTGCATAACAGTGTAATTAAGTGTATAAGTACAAATATACAAATGACATGACTGATTCCATTTCTATTATATACGACATCTAAACAGATAATTCGCAAAGGTCCATTTTTTAAGAAATTCAAATTGAAATACAAAAAAAAATTAAGAAATCTATTCTAAAAATATTTTTTCCGGAAGGAAAACAAGAAGTCTTATCAAAATTTATAATAAAAATAAAAACTATTATATAGAATATAGGAACTTATAACATTTAAAATAATTTTTATACTTTATTAACATAATGAACAAAAAAAATAAACATCTATTATAATTATGAATCATAATATCTACTTTTTTGAAAAAAATAATTTAAATAATACAAAGTAGCTCAAATTGACCTTCAAACTATTTATTTACCAATACACTTAAATTAATTTTTTTTGTTTTAGATAACTTGAACGAAAAGATTCCAAACTCTTATAGGGAAAAATGAGAGGAAAAAAAAACTAGCTACTTGAATAAGAAAAATTTAAAACGTGTTGCTAAATTGTTTTTCTTTTATATTTTTTTTTTGTTTTTTTTTTTTCAATTAACATTCAAAATGAAATTAGTAAAACAAAAATTAAATTAAAACAAAAAATTTAAACAAAATAATTTATCAAGGTTTTGTTTATCAAATAATATCAGGCTATACAAAAAAAAATGTAAAAATAAAATTTAAATATTTTGAAAAAACAATTAAAATAATTGAAATTTTATACATAAAGCGGGATTCATTTACATTATTACAATATAAAAGTAAATTAGCGTTAATTAAATGAATTAAAATTTTATAAAATTTACATTCAAACTATGTTCATATGTACATTATACACACCTAAGTACACATCAATGTAGGCACATTAGAAATATTACAATTGACTTCAATTTTCTATAAAATATTTTTTTTTCCTAAATCTACTATTATTACATTGTGTATATGTATGTAGATAAATACAGATTCGTACATATGTATCTCTTTTTCTCTCATAATAATTAATTCTTCTCTAATTTCTTAAATATATGGTGAGGGTATAGTTACTTGTTAATTGTTGTTTAAATATTCTAACATGGAAATATTAAAATAAATTTTTTTTTTTTGATTTCTTAAACTTAGAAGTTACAATTTTTTCTTATTTCAATTACTTGAATATGCGATAAAGAACTTAGCGAGAATTTTACTAGTACTAGATACGAACCAACCTATATATATATATATATGTACTTATTTGGGTTAAATTTTAATTAAAATGAATTAAGAGTAAGTAAATATTCGAAAACTTGATGAGAAGTTTAATGAACAAAATTAGAACATAATTCAATTTTCATTGAACAAAATACTGGAACAATATATTATGTTTGAAGTATTTATAACAAAAAAAACTCTGCTCCAAATATTTTTCTTAGCTAAATAACTTATTTAAAACAAATTGAATTCAATATTCTTCAAAAATAATTCAAAATATTCATAAATCAAAAAAATTATCAAAACTTAAATTGAGCGAAATCTGCATAAATAATTGAAGTATTGAAAAAAAGTATGTTTACATAATTTGCTGTTTGGATATTATCATAGATCAAAAACGAATATTATAATTTGTATTTCCAAATCAAAATTTAAAAAATAATAGCAAAACGTTAAAACTGAAAGATAAAAGCAAAATAAATAGAAATATCGATTTATTGAATTCCTGTCATCGGAAAACGGTAAAAAAAAAAAAACAAAAACAGTTGCAAATTTTATTTTGTTGTCAATTTTATAAAGAAATCTTAAATTTTTAATAATATTCAATATTATTTAACAGTAAAAGTAAATCATATTTTTAATAAAATATGAAAAAAAAATTTTAAAAATCAAATTTAAAATT